ATTAGAATCATTACTAATAGGTAAATCATGTAAATGTAATGTATATGGGATTAACTAGTCTTAAATGCTACAGGCTCCAGAAGACAAAACATTAGGACATTTTCATACCTGATCCGGGATCAGCACACCATAAGATTTTGAAATAGACTTGGTGACATCAGAAACCAGTGGATACTGAAGATCACCAAGGCCACCAGACTTTCTATCAGTTTGGACCCAAGCAAGATGTGAGAACTGCAAAAAGGATTCCATTAATATCACCACAATTCACAACTGAAGCAAACCATCTAATTTTAAGTAATAGAAGCAGAATTCCACCCAAACAAAACTTCTTTGCAAAAGGATCTCATTATTGAAAATGAGTCGCAAGTAGCCAACTTACAACACTATCAATAGACACACCCAAAACTTCAGTGTTAAGCTGCTTAAACTCTTCATACCGGTCACTGAAGGCAGTAATTTCTACAAAATAAGAGATATAAGAAACTTAAGTTCAAAGCAATTCTAATCACTATTTGCTGAACTTCGATTTGGAGTAGTTTAGTGCCAACAAACCTGTGGGACAAACAAATGTAAAGTCCAACGGGTAGAAAAAGAGAATCACATATTTCTTCCCAATGTACTCGGAAAGTTTAACCTGAAACCATGGCACATTAGATAATTTGTGAAGATGCAGGGCAGCAAGTAAACATGGAACAATATAACTCCTGAACAAAAGCATTGCATCTCGGAAGAAAATGCTTTATTGGCTTTTTGATCGATAAATCAACTACCGCCTTAGAAACTTGACAAAATAGATGAGAAGTGCGGCTGCCAGGTTGTAGATTATCCATTTAAGTACACATTCCTTTCAGATTCCTCAATATGCAAAACAAATTCATCATGAACTACCTTGATAAATTCCTGGTCAAAAACTGCCTCGGCCTCAAAATCAGGTGCTTGATTTCCAACCAAAGGAAGTTCGCTCTGTACAAGTGAAGAGACTGTAAGAAGTGGAATCCTCGAATAAGAACTTCACAAATCAACGCCCTAATTGTTCCTCTCCCGCAAATATTCAAATATTGATAACTTATACAACGAATTCATCGCATTATCTCACAGCCTCAAAGTAGAGTGGAGTAAAAGAATCGAAGTGAGCAGAATCACTTACAGAAGCGCGGACGGCAAAGCTCCGTCTGGGAGGAGTTCCACGGGAGGAGGAGAGGGAACGAGGAGCAGAAGGGAGGAAGGAGCTGCGGAGGCCGACGAAGGATTTGGGGAGCGCTAGGGTTCGAGAGAAGGGAGCGGAAGCAATGGGAGGGGTGGACTTGGCGGGGAAAGCGGAGGGGTTGGAGGAGATGAGAGCGGTGGAGGCGGCGGAGCAAGCCATAGGAGAGGAAGAAGCTGGAATCTGGATTCTGCAGCAGAAGTCTGAGGCGCAGAAATGGCGACGAGAGGATAAGTAGAGAGAGGGAAGCGCTTGGTTTGCAGACTGGATAACTGCCTCGCGCTACCCTCCACTCACACACTTTCGAGGGCAATCGCTGGGAATATCCATTTTTCTACCTTTTACAGAAAACGGAACACGAGGGGTAGTATAGTAATTTCTCGTCTGCATTTGGGCTTAGCCCATTGACAAGTTGGTAGATCTCGGGCCGATGGCCCATTTCTTCAGTGCCATCCATTTCACTACTCCACGTCTCCAACTATTTTCTGTTTTTGCAAATATTTTTTTGTAATTTGAAAAACTATATAATTTTAATCTATTTTTATTAGTATATTCATTTCAATTAAATGTTTTGTTAAAGTTTTTTTAGTACGACATGTGGAGATAGAAGATCCAACTCACAATCCGCTTTGACAAATATTGTTAAAATTCAAAAAAACAAAAATGGGGTAGTATTAAAAATATAAGAACACCAAAATAAAATTCAAACTTTTTTCTTTTTATTCTGAACGTCGCTTACATAAAAATAAAAATATATCTTCAGAAATAAAAAAAAAAACGTGAATCAGTAAAACCCAAACTATTTAATAAATATTCCAAAGACTTTAAAATACATTTTGATATAAAATATTTGCTACTTTGTGCGCCTATTATTTATTATTTACAAGTGCAGTGGTGGAATCTACTCAATTTTCTCTTCATGTATGGAGGATCCTAAGATGGTAGCCGCAAGAATTTTTCTTGAGATATTATAAATATTATACTAAATAATGGATTTTTTTTTAATTATGATTTTTTCTTATTTCACTTTCACTTTAAATATTTACATGTTGGTTAAGTGTATATACAATATTTGGTTAGGCTGAATTTTTTAGGTAAGAGAGTAATAATCCAAGATGAGAAAAGATACATTGAAAATTTATTAAATAAAGAAAATTGAAGTGAATGATCGGTTTGGTAATATTCCTATTTCTTGTTTTTGTTTCTTCATTTTTTAATGAAGAAAAACTAATTACATGACTCTAACATTTATGAATTCAAGTATGATGAACCAAAATTTTTATTTATGTTTTGGAACAAATTGGAAATTAGAACCAGAGAGAAGAAACTTGTTTGAGTTGTTTCCAAAATTTCTATACAATTGTGATAATGTTTCAAAATACGAAGAAACAAGAAACAAAATTAGTTGCAAAATGTTTAGATTTCTTTAAAAAATTGGAAACGGGAACGTTACCAAACGGGCTCTAAATGTTTTACAAAAAACAAAACGATGGAAGTAGTACTCTGTCGGAGTTAAAAGCTTGAACAAATGTTGGTGTCTAAAATAACAAACATCAAGAAGTGCAAGAAAAAGGAGGATAAGTATGTTGGGAATAATAATACTAAATAATAAGACGAACAAAGAGAATAAAGAAGATGGACAAAACTCAGAGAATAAAGAAATAGAACAAAGGAGAATCGTTGGTAGTCCTTCAATTTGTTGTTATTTTCATCTTTTAATTTTTACTATTTCCATTTTCTTTTAACTTTTGACCATTTTTAAAAAAATCGTGTTAAAAAAACATCTTACCTAAAATATTTATGTTTAGCTAGCTACAATTTACAAATACTTTTCAAATAAGTTTTGAGCTTGAAAGTGGTTTGTAAAAAATCATTGATACTTAACAGGAACTTAGAAAATGTTGTTAAGCTTAACCTGTGTTTGTGATTTGAAATTCAAGAAATGATTTAAAATTGTTTATCTTATTTTGAACGAGAATGATTTGAAAAGACCCAAATTAGATTTCTTTGTTTGGATATTCACTGAAAATGAAAAGAAAATACAATTTTTACTAATTAGTCTAAATTTATTAATTAGAAATTAAAATATGACAATGTTGAATAGGTAATTTACTTGAGAAGTCTATCAAATCCAAAAAAAATCCTACCATTTTAATCTGGAAATTTTTTTAACTAGAAATAGGATTTGAAGTCGAGTAAGATTTCAAATAATTCAAAATCATGTGGTACCAAACAATCGAATTCATTTGAAATCTATCCGGATTTTTAATTCCTTTAAAATCCGAGGAATTAAACCGAGCATAAATCTCTCTGGCTTGTATTTCAAAGTCGCAAACAATCGAATTCATTTGAAATCTATCCGGATTTTAAATTCCTTCAAAATCCGAGAAATCAAACAGAGCATAAATCTCTCAGGCTTGTATTTCAAACTCGCCTCAACCATAAGTAATATCTTCCATTCTTTTAGCCCATGTGCAAACATTAACCCTACTTTTTTTTTCCTTTGCAAAACCAATAATTTTTTACTCATACGTCGTCAAGTGTATAGACCGCCTCTACCCTAATAGACGGAGTGTGTCCTTCGTATTTATTGAGATGCTGCTACTCATAGCGTTGAATCACAACGAAATTTCTCATGTTCGTAGGGTCACAGCCCTGCTCATTTTCAATTCCAATTTCTTCTCACTGCTACTTGACTCACAATGTGGTGATTCAAAGTATCTAAATAATTATTTTTCGATATGTTATACAAACTTAAGATTTTCTTACTCATCTAAACATATACGTTGCATAAACTCAAATGAGATTCGAGTCTGAAAGTCGTGTTTAAAATATTATTCGACGCACGCTATTGACGAAAAGTCGTACTTCGTCGCAAAAGAGTTTCAGCGACATGCTTTCAAGAACGATTATGGTTTATTTTATCTTTCCACAATGAAATAATTTCATCACTAAAAGTATTATTGGGGATGGGAATGGGCAATTGGATTGGAAGGATGAGTAAGAGAAGGAAGCATTGCATTATGTGGCATTCTTAAAGCCACAAACAAAAGAACCCCAAAATTAAAGAAAGCAGGTGGAAAATGGATGGGCATAGATAGAGATTGATGATGAATGATAAAATGCCTTTGGCTTTGATTCCACAGTGACACATTGCCAATTGCCAACCCGCTTATTTTCTCCACACCAACCACGTTTGGTTTTCTTTTTCATCATGTGACGTTGTTAACCACATTTCTCTCTCTTAGTTGTCAAATATGTAACGGTGAAGAGAACAAAGTTCCTCCTCATAGTTGAGGACTAGGAGGCAAGTATATTTTTCTTAGTTTATTGTTTATTGTTTTTCGTTTTTAATTTTTGAGAAACATTGTTTTTGTTTCTCGTTTCTTAAAAACCGTTCCTCATTTTTAAGAAACGTTTCTAACCTCGTGTAAAATTTTAGAAAAAACAAAAACAAATTTTTTGTTTCTTGTTCATGTTTCAAGATTTTTTTTTTCCAAAATATATAGATAAAAACATTATTTTAACATTTTTATTTTTAAAATGCATAATAGAATCAAAAAATAAATATAACATAAAAATATTGAAAATTTAAATTTCATATAAAACTTTGACAAAAAATGATTATCAAACATGTTTATATTTTTTTCAATAAAAACAAAAGAACAAAAGAAGAAATGTTTTTTTCTTGATGGAAAAAGCTGAAACCAGAAATAAAAAACAAAAAGTGAAAAACCAGAAATAAAAAATAGAAATGTTACCAAACAGATTCTTAAAAATTCAATTTTGAGTTGTCACATTTGACTATCAATTTCATTCGAGAGATGGCGATGAGTTATGTCTAGAATTGACTTTAATTAAATTTTTCGTTTTGTGATCTCTATTATATTTGGTTGCCTCTCCATTTTAGAGCTCAACTTGATAATTGTTTCACAATCAATCGAGAGGTCACATTACTTGTATTATTTTCATGGCCCATCCTCCCTCTTAATATTATTTTCCATAGACTTTTTGCCTACCCCAAGTCATGAGACAGTAAGACCAGCCCATGGAGCATTTCTGAGCACATAGTTTTTACCATACTACCACCATAAATTCTAACAGAAAAAGGATAATTTTTTTAAAAAAAGTTGCATATATAGGAAGATAAATCATATTAATTGAAATAAATAAATTGTCAGTCTATCTCTTTTGTCTTAAAAATACTAGTTTCAACTTTCGAGTATTAATAATTGATCTTTTCATACTTTTACTGTACAACCAAAAGGTAATATTAGCAGAATATTTTGGTATATTAGTGATATTTTCAGCGGTATTTGAATTTTTCAAATGTAAATTTCAAAAAGTCATATATGTATGTAAATTGGATATGTGAGTAATTACACTTAAATTATCTTTAAGTTTTAAAGTTGTTTTTTAATTTCTTTTTTCTTTAAACCCATCAAATTCCAGCCGTTTCCTTTTTCTGTGGTCAATTGTTAAATTGAGGAAAAAATAATAGAAAAAATAATTTTAATGTCTTAAAAAGCTAGAGACAAAAAATCTAATAACAACTGTTATGAGATAGGAAATGACAGATAAAGGATGAAACAAAATCAAGGGGACATCCGCGAAGGCCAAGCTAGGCCGAGCAGGGCTCGATTCCGATCCCTGCTCAGCGTCAAGCCCTCTCTGTTGTTGGATACGTTCCAGCCCGTAGGCCCACACGTATCATAACCCAGTGAGTCTGACGATCGTGAGATAACCTAGAGTTGGGAATTCGTGAAACCCTAGGGGGAGGATCCACCATAAATAAGAGGGGAGCCACCCATTGAAGGTAAGCAAACACACACGCCAAGTACTCTTACTTGCTTGATTATTCAACCATAGCTGACTTAGGTATCGGAATCCGTGACAATAGTCACGCCGGTTTAGTGTTACTCGATTTTGTAGGTATTCAATCTCTTGATTATCGAGTTTAGTGCACATTTTGGAGAGGATCGAGAAGACCAAAATCCAAACACTGACGACAACAAAATCATATCATGACATCACATGAATTGTCACATTATCAAACTCACTCTTACCAAGAAATTCTCTTCCTAAAAATTGATCATCGATATTGATTTTTCTTTCTTGTAGTTTGGTTGATATGAAACTTTAGAAATTAGATCATATTTGTTCCAGTATTTGGAAATCACTGTGAATAAAAAATAATTGCAAATAATTCTTAAACCGAACATTCAACCATGCAATTAAATGGGTTTGTTAGATCATATATATAATTTTACCAAGTCACAAAACTTTTTTTTTAATCAAATATTGCATTTAATATGATATATGTCTTCAGCCTTCATGTCACCATATATTATAACACAATCAAGTTGAACCACAAAAATATTTCCTTGAAAACAACATTTATTTGATTCAATGTTGAAAGAGACCAGACTGTAAAATTAAATCAAGAAGAGCTCCTTGTTGGTCATTACCAAGATTAATTAAATTTGGTAATCATATTTTAAATCGTATCTTCGAACAGGAAGAAAATATGCTTCGAGCACCTAAAGATAAAAATACAATTTTCTGTAGTGGAAGAAAACAATTAAATATTCAAAGTTTCTTCGGAATTTGAATAATAATATTAGTTTATCAATTTCTATTTGCCCTTTTTTGACATTTAAAAGAAAAAGTTGGGAGCGCCAATGGAGACTATTTTTTTAGTGCAATAATTGCTTTTATAATGCGATTACGTGCCACCCACATACGGCGCCGTTTTGGTTTTGTTTTTGTTCTCTTCTCTTCGTTTCATTTTTTAGCTGAACTCCCCCACTCTCTCTCCTCTCCTCGCCAATTTTCTCTCTCTAACTCTCTGTCTCTCTGCCGCCATGGACGAGAGCTCCGGTCTAAACCCAGACCCCCCGCCGCCGCCGTCGTCAAATCCCCGCCGTAGAAACTCCATCACGGTGCCCGTCGTCGTGCCATCTAAACTGAACCTTTTCGCCGCCGCCGCCGGCACGAAATCAACGCATTCGCCGCCGTTACCGCTGGCTTTCGAGCTCGTCCCCCTCAAATCCTCCTCCTATCCTTCCCTTGTCTACACTTCTCTGAGAGACATTTTGCCCTCCGCCACCGCCATCAACTCGCCCACCGCCGCCTCTGCAGCAAATTCCGGCTACGAGATCTCGATCCGCAACCGCCTCGTGAAGCAGGCGGCGTGGGCCTATCTTCAGCCCATGTCCTCCTCTCCGGGCTCCTCAGGACCCCACCTCCTCCGCCGTCTCTGGCTCCGATTCTCCGCCTGTCTCAGCTTCCTCAATCTGCGGATCATTTCCAACATAACCCACGCTTTTGATCGGATATTTCACGTTGTTGGAGTCAGTTTTGTCAGTTAAAATGGTGGTCGGAACTGGAAGGAACACAACTGATCAGCTTCTCTTTGACTGAATGAAATCATCTGTTTTCTATTCTATTCTGTGTATTAATAAATTATATACAACCCCTATGAGCAGAGTCAAAGAAGGAGAAGAAACAAACAAAAAAATTGGGATGTAAATGTTTGAAGAAATTTTCCAAAAAGAAATCTATCCTTTTTGTTTCTTCCTTTGGTTGGGGATTTTTTTTTTTTTTTGTACAGTTTCTTTAGCAACTTCTAGTGGTTTTGTTTCGATCCTCTGAATCGAGCTTGGTTGTGGTTTTGACCTTCATAAATATAGTTCGTTTGGTCATGGAGGGGAAATTGCGCATCGAATTCCTCCGCCGTGGTTGAGGAACGCCTATTGCTGGAGCCGAGCAGAGCAGGGGCACTTGGAAGAAACCACTTCTTGGCCTTACTCTTGCTCGAGTCTCTGGTCTGCCTTGGAGGCTTGTGGAAGAACGAGGGAAGGTCATTAGGCGGCGGCGGTGGCGGCGGCGGAGGCGGCTGTGGGGGCGCGCTTGGACGTGGATGATGCTCGTTCCTCTGCAAAATGTCAATTTTATCTCTAATTAAATGGATAATCAATGCTATAACTAGGTTCTAGACTTGTAGTCCTAGTAAAGGTTTCTGTAAATGGTCTCAAGGCAATGGAAAATAAGTGTTTTTGGTTCTTATTTGCTACTAAAACTAAATGGGGATGATTCCCAAACCCTTCAGAAAGAAGTATTAGAAGGCTACCCTGGCTTGTGGGGCGGCGGCTGCAGGCCTAGAGGACTGAGAAGCCATGTAGTTTATAACTTGGAGGAATGCAGATTGGCTCAGCTCAGTACAGTTTTTCCAGTAGAAGATGGCCAAATCCCAGGCCTTGACTCTCCAATCCACCAGCTTCTGTTCAATATCTGTTTCATGCTTATCTACAAATGGCCGTAGCAACATTTCGAACACATAGCCTGATCCCTGCATTATTTTATCCCCCATTAACAAACAGATCAGGACCAGTTGTGCTCTGAATGTAAGTTGTGTTCTGAATGAAAACTGTTACGTACTATTCATAGATTTTGTGCAATACATATGTCCTGTTTTATTTCTTCTTGTTCTTAAACTAGTGTCATAAGAATTCAACCAAAAACTTGTTGAGTATTCATTATCCAACAAGTTTTATATACTAAAAAACAAAAAATGTTCTTAGGAAATTGAAGTCAATTTTTTTAGTGCTCATCTCAAATAGGAACCTCAAATCCCATCAATTACAAATAGTCCTCCGCTTGCACATAGTTCATGTTTAGTCAAGTTTTAAAATCAACATTTTAGTTGTTGTAGTTGAGAAAGTGATTATAATTATAAATAGTCCTTATTTGTTTTGTTGTTGGCCTAACAAAAAGATGTTATGACAATATATCTTTTGTCCTTAAAATTTGGACTTAGTTACTATTAAATCTCCAGAATGTCAAAATCAATACTTTAGTTCCCAAAATTGTTAAGGAAATGATTGTAAATAGTCGTTAATTAACCTACCAGAAAATTTGACATAAGACAGTTAAGTAGTGATTTAAGAATTGGATAACATGTATATTTTATTTCCCATTTCTACAAGATCATCAAAAAGCATAGAGCGTGTTAAGTTCAATTATATTACATTATATCAGTTTCTTACCTTGGTCTTTGGATACCACAAGTAGATAAAAAGAGCCAGCTTCAATTCTCCGTACATGGGCAACCTTGCAAAAGTTTCGGACCATAAAATTTTAAGCACAGGTGAAATGATGAAAGATGCAAACACAACACAAATTCCTTAGCGAGAAAAAAAAAAAAAGGAGAAAAGAATGCTTCACATACCATGCGACTAAAGTGTCAGCAATCCTCTCAACTACTGTTAGAATGGCCACAATGATCCTGCAAGAAATTAAATTAAATAAATAGGCATTCAATTCAAAAATAAAAAGTAATGCAATAAAAAACAAAGTGGAGTGAAAGCTACTCAAATCCATGTTCAAAGCAGACAAAGGCAAAGGCCAAAGCCAAAGCAATAAAGAGTTTCAAGAAAACCCTTTCCACTGTTATTCCCAAATACAAAAATCTAAGGTGATCACCATCATTCATCAAACTTGCACATGTAAATAAGTGACAATCAGAAGGACTATAAGGTAATTCGATAAACAAACGCTTGTTTATTAAGAGAAACAATAAAATAATCGGGTCAACAGCTACAGATTAGGGCACGAACTACCAACAATTCCATCAAATCGAAGTGCGGAAATTAATGGATGCGTTCTCACCAAAATTGACACCAGAATCGAAGCTCCTGGACCTCAATCCGGCTCTTCACCACCGTTTTGTAGCACTGAAACGCCGGATATGCGTAGCCAAACAGCATCCTGCATTGATCATCAAGCATTTATATAAATAGAATTAGAAAAACCAGAGAATCTGTTTTCGAAGAACTTACAGAAGGCATCGAACCATAAGATCTCCCAACATTGCGAATCGCTGGAACAGAATCAATTTCCGCCAAATTGGACCTGAAACAGAGTTGAAGAACAAAGCACAGAGCATATTCAAAAACTGAATGAAGCGGAGAGCGAGTCAGGATAGTCCCGAAGGCACAACACAACAGAAATGAATTCACCTTATCGGAGAAGAAACACGGCCAGTCGATTCAGCGAGTATTATCCCATCAGAAACGGCGGCAGAGTCCAGAACTGTGAAAGAACAAGAAAGAAGAGCGGGGGGAATGGAGTTTGAAGGATTTGAGATGGCGTGGAAGAAATGAATGATGGAGAGGAAGAGAAGGAGAAGCTTGGGAGATGAAATATGGTTATGGAGTTGTTAGAGAGAGAAAGTAAGAGGAGAGAGAGAAAGAGAGGAGAGTTTTTAAAAGAGGGGTTTCTTGCGGCGGACGCCTTCGTCGTTCTCTTGCACGCGATTCAGTCAGAGCGAGCGGAGGGGATTTTTTGGAATTCTTTAAAAGCAGTTTGGTTCTTCTTCCGGCAGTTATTGGGAGGCTAATTTGGTCATTTCGCTCTCCCCTGCTCTCGAATATGGAAAAGACAGACCTTGCTTTGCTTGTGGCATTCCATTTATTGGATTAATTTCTCTCTTTTCATTCTTTTTCCTTTTTTTTTTCCAAATATTATTTTTTGTTATCTTTTTCTTTTATCATTTTTAATATTTATTGTTATTAAAATGTGATTATATCTCAATTGATGTTCTAAAGTTTGAATTAGAACTAACCTGAATCAAAAATATTAGAGCCAAATAGAAATTATAGAAAAACATTCATTAATTTTATTTGATTATCAATTGCGTCAACAAGATTAAAAGAGAAGTTATGATGAATTTTAAACTAAAAATCAAATCAATTGAGCACTCTAAAGTCGTATTAATAGAATTGGCGGTAGAAGCTAAGTAAAATAGGATCTAAAGTTCAAAATTGGAATGCCACACCATAAAATAATTTGAACAAAAAGCAAAAGAAGCAACTTTATGAGTTGCTTTGTTTGAACACCATCGAACACATGGACGAACTGAATGTTAGTGAAATTCCTGGCCAACTTTTGGCAGTCCTCTGCCCAAACACTAGAATCACAACAAGTTCTAAACTCCTTATGGAGAAGATTGATCAATTGACGGGAATCAGACTCAAATTACACAGACTGAAGATTTAATCTGGTTGTTGTTCGAAGGCCTTCTAGTAGAGCAAGAGTTTCAATGCTCAATGGATCATACTACGCTTCATACATTTTCTATTTTAAAATATTTACAATTCATTTCCTCATATATCATTTTTTCGCATGTATAATCACTTATGTTTGGAGTAAGTCACATTAATCTACTAAATAGATAGTTGTGTTATCGTCAATGTCTAAGTTTTGAAAAATACATAAACGACACTATCATCAACTCTCCAAGCCACCGTTGCGAAAATTTAGCCTCTTTCATTTATGCCAATCACACCAATACCCGTTCTGAAAATGTTAGTCTTCAAGCAGCATCTACGTTGAATTTGTAATATAACTTTAAATGGATCGTTTCTTAACGTGACTTCAACATTTTTTTATTTTATTTTAGAATATGTGAGAGAGTAATTCAGACTTATAATTTAGGAAGAGAAGTATCGATGGCTAATCACTTCAGCTTTTCACAATTTTGATATTGATTCTTAATTCATATTTGACAAAATTTTGCTTTATTGTTTTCACTCCTCACAAACTTTTGTCATTTCTTCTTTATAATCTATTTAAATAAAGCTACTAAAAAAACAATATAACGTGGGAAATAGACTCATGTCAAATAAAAATTTGTATTTGTATATATATATATTATTCTTTATTTTTATTTTTTGTAATTTTCACGCGTAAGTTATTTGAATTAGTCATTGTGGGTATTTAATTTAAATTTGAAAACATCATAACGTAACCAGGAAGAAATTGAATTTATCATATAAAATTTAGAGATACGCAAGATGAGTTCAAAAAGAAAATAAAAAAAAGACCTCAATCTCCAAATTCCAAACATGCCCCTAGCTTGGGAGACTCGAAATTAAATAACACCTAGGAAATAACGCTTAAATTTCTTTTTTTTTTTTTAAATTATTTTTAAGAAATTGTTGTAGTTAGTTGACCATCTTCTTCCCACTTTCCCCTAATCTTCCAATTATTACAAATTAGCAGTTGAAAGTTTTTTTATTACTGAAAAGTAACCCCAAACTTCCATCAATACTCGACAGCGACAATCAAATTTCTTGCTTTTGAGTTTTGACCCTATCTTTCGTTTTCCTTAACTAACCACCTTAAAATAATAGTTTCTGTACTATTTTATTTCTTGAAAATTATATCTCAATTTTTTTGTTATGTTTTTACATATTAAAAATACACTTGAATTTTTTAGTCAAATTCCAAAAATAAAAACAAAATTTGAAAAACTTACTCATTAGCTTAGATTTTAAAAGTAGAGTACAAAAGATACCATAGTGAAAATGTGTTTATAAGTTTAATTTCCAAAACAAACAAAAAAATAAAATGATTATCAAGTGGGCCTTAATCATTAAATTTTAGTTTGTAACGATTTAGTCTCTATATATTTTAATTAGACAATCTGTTCTTATTTTGTAAAATGTTTGTGAAGATTTAATGGAGTTGTTTACACGTGCATATCAATAAATTTATTAAAGATCAAATGTATTTAACAAAGCCATTGAAAAACAAATGTATTAACAAAGATTAAATCATTACATAATAAAAAGTAGCACTTTATTTTGATGAAATTTTTTATGCTAAGATCTAAATTGTTACCCACTAAACTTTAATGTTACAATGATTAAAAAAAGGAAAATAAAAGTTTATAGTTCTCCCTCCAAGTATTTATAAGAGAATTTATGTACTTTCTTCTTTTAAAGTGGCCTAATTTCTTGGTATCGTGTAAGTTTATCATTAATCAATTTCAACGTTAAAAAAAACGATATATATAATAAAAAGAAAAGTTGACACACAAAACACTAAATTAAAACTCTTTAAACAACGGGGATTAAATAGACAAAACACCCAAACATAAAAGCTACTAAAACATACATACATGCATATAATAATACTATCTATTCTTGTTTGTGTGTGGGAGTGTAAACCTAGAGAAACAATACCAAGGTGCGATTATCACCCATCTTCCTATTGTGACCACCACTAAAAATTTGACAGCTCTTTATTTCTTCAAATTATATAAAATATATCTCGTTTTATCCATTTACCTTTTCCTACCTATCACAAATTTAATGACAATGTGATGACCAATAAACATCTAAGTATGTTTCGATTTAGAAGATAATCGAGAAGCAGCAACGTAGTTAAAGAGTCGGAGTGCTGCAGATTGGCTCAACTCAGTACAATTGTTCCAATAGAAAATGGCCAAATCCCAGGCCTTGGCTCTCAAGTCCACCAGCATCTGTTCTATATCTTTTTCATGCCCATCTACCAATGGCCGCAACAACACCTCGAACACATACTCTGATCCCTGAATTGTTTCATAACGATTTAAGTTTTCAATTCTCTGATTTTAGAATTCTAATTGCCTGGAACCACACATTTGAATCTTTTAAGTAAACTTTAGAAACTAATTTTTCTTTTTGATTTTTAAAATTTAGCTTTTAGATTTAAAAAAAAAAAGTAGGGGAAAAAAATAAAATGATTATTAAATTTCTATTATCTTATCCCGATAACCCTCATGTTTAAAAGTTTTTTTTAAGGGACATTAATTATTTCACATAAAACTTGCACTTAACTTATTTTATTGCTCATTTTATGGGCCCAAGTCTTACCCATATAATTTTAGTCAAACTACCTTTTTATCCTCAAATTTGAATTGGATTCCTATTTAGTTTCTGATTTTAAAATCTAGCATATTTAGAGTGAATTTGACCTACTTTCTCATTTAAACCCCTTTTTATACATATATTTTTTCGCAAAACATTTTTCTTGATTAAAATATTATGTGTTGGTTACGTTCTTTTTAAAGGTAATTTTAATTACTAGTTTGTTTGATTGTACTATATCCAAGGGTGATTCATACATTTACAAAAGTTAAATTATCAAAAAGTGACTAAATTAGTGATTACCGAATCAATCGCACTTGACTTTGATAATCAGCCTAAAAGTAATTCTGGAAGGAATGATTATAACCCAATTTGATTATTTGAAAAATGATTTTCATTTGTGGTCAAACACTCCAGATTCTGGAAAAAAAAAATACTATGACCCTCCAAAGTCACTTAGAAAATTAATCCAAACGCAGATCACTTGGATAACCGTAGAGTGTTTCAAGTTTCAATATAATACCTGAGTAATTAAGGTTCAAATTATGAGATGAATTATGTGTGATTTTGTTACCTTGTCCTGTGGATACCATAAGGCGATAAAGAGAGCCAGCTTCAATTCTCCATACATGGGCACCCTAATTGGCAACAGAATTTTGAGCATAAATTAGGTGAAAATGATGATGAAATAGGAAGAAAGAAAGGTAGAGATATATATTATTACTATTTACCATCCTATAAAAGTGTCAGCAATCCTCTCAAACACTGTCAAAATAGCCACAATGATCCAAAATTTACACCAATATTGAAGCTCTTGAACCTCAATTTGGGTCTTCACCACCGATTTGTAGCACTGAAACGCTGGATATGCATACCCAATCACCAACCTGCACCCAATAAGTCACCATATTCAAATTCATTACAAAACTCACACCCACAAAAAACGAAAAAAAAAACCCAGATACAGAAGGAATTTGAATTACAGGAGGAATCTAGCCATCAAGTCTCCCAACATTTTTGAATCTTCGCTTGAAGAAACACAATTGTTCTAACAGATCGATCAGCTGAAGAAAGAAGTTTAGAAAAGAGCGTTTTTTTCTTGCAGCAGCGACTTCGTCTTCCTTCTCTGGCCGAGGAAAATATTATTAATTTAAATGGAGCTGTCTAGAGGTGACTATTCTTAATAAGTTAGGTACACTTCATATATACATTTTTTATTTACCTTCTGTAAATTCAAAGTTAAATATCATTTTGATCTTATAATTTTAAATTTTATTTATTTTAGTCTCTATATTTTCAAAACAACGTTAATTTTATTATATGTATATAATGGAATAGTTAGTTTATTTGTTATTTAGTTGGTAATTCTGAATTATCTCAAAGTTTGGTCCACCCGTATATAACTACTCCTTCTAAAAGGTGACATTTCAGTTTTTTATTTTATTCAGTCATTTTAATTTTCAAAAAAGAAATATATATATATATATATATATATATATATATATATATACACACTCAGTAATTCTTTTTTAATGTAGTCATAGTTTTGTATAAGGGTTTTATACATTTTGAAAGTACCATTTGAGAATACAACATTAAATAAATAAAAATTGAGAGTACCAACGACTAAAATAATATTTAAATCTAAATTTAATGGTGTAAAATTTTCAAATATGTTGTTTCAACCTAGGTTTTAAATGTCAAAGTCTCAATTTCATGAAAATATTGATAAAATGTCGATGTCAATGGATATTTCAGGTAAAAGTTATAGAAATTAAAAAATTGTAAAAAATATTTAAATTAACAAATAAATATTTTCATACTTTTTAAATAAGTTAAAAATTAATTAATATTAATATTATGTATAAATTAGTGGTATTTTATTGATATTTTTCATATTTTTATGACAGAAATGTCGATTTATTTCTAATATCGATGTCAAACTTATGAAAAGATTGAAATGTCGACGTAAATGTCGAAGGATAGTTATAAGTGTGGTTTCAACCATATCCAATAACCTCATTAATGAGGGGATTTTCTTGGAATTCTTCGGAAGTAGTTTTGTTCATATGTGGGAGTTACCGGGAGGAGTATTTGGTCATTTTGTACATCTCAGCCCTTCAAGTTGTATATAAAAATAATAATAACATTTTTTTTTCTCAACCCATTAATGATATTAAAAAATATATATAAATATTGACCTGGTTTGGTTTCGCTTATATGTAATTTTCACTCCTACCTATTATTATTGTTATTATTCTTCTTATTTAAAATATTACCTTACAAATATGATGGAGAATATTCAACACTGATAGTTGACCAATTGAACTTTGTGTTCAATTCTTCCAATTCTGTTATTGAAAAATTTGGCCAATTTTATTGTCACTTTTGATGTATCCCTCTTTCATCTTAATAATCCATTGAATAATGACTAAGAAAATAAAATAAGCATGAAAAAAAATTAATATCAAACAACAATTTGTAATTATTTTTTCCAATATCCCCACATAAGAAAATTGAATTAGTCATACGAGTTTATTTTAAATTTCAATATGTATGCCCATCACTAACATGAAATAAATTGATTTATCGTATAGTTCATAGAGACTTAAAGTGGGACCAAAAAGAAAAGTAAATGAGAATATTAAAAGACTTGAACTCATAGTCCAAACCAAATAATTTGTCTAAATTAAAAAATAGTCACATTAAGTTGACCATCTTTTCCCAGTCTTCCGCAACTTAATTATAACATAGAGGGCAACATATTAATATAATTCTAACAGATAAGGCATATTGTTCTTTCTCTTGAGGTTGGACGTTCAATCTCTCATTTCCACATTTTTTTGTTCGTGAAAACAATTATAACATTGAGGTACAAATTTATTAACCGTTGAAATAATGCAAGCAATTAGGATGTTTTTTAATACTAAAACTAAAATACATCAAATTTCTAGCTTTTTACTTTGTCTTTAGTTTTTGTTAACAAATGATCTTCTAATAAAAATTTTCTAAACAATAGAAATTTGACATTGCGTGATAATTCTTTTATATTTTTTTAGAAATACATTCCTTTTATAGTTGTTCTACTCTTTTTCCTTTGTTTTTTCATGGTTTAAAAAGTTCCTAAATTTGAATATAAATTTTAGAAATAAAAAGATAATGTTCTTTTTTTTTTTTAGCAAACTTTTCTTTAAATATTGATAAAAGAATTATTATCTCACAATTTACCTGTCCTCTTTCAAACATGAATGTTATGTATAATGGAAACTTTAGCATATGATTTAAGTTTAGTTTCACCCAATTGAACATTGAATAGTACATAATAAAGCAACTATATTTATTAAATAGACATATATTACTGTACATATAGCTTCGAACTCAAATTTTAAAACGTTTACAAATTTAAAAAACTAAAAAAAAAATATTAATTTTTAAATATTTACTTTTTGTTTTTTTAAATTTAGCAACGAATCCGTGGGTGTTCATAAAAATTATGAAAAATATATTAAAGAAATTCATAATTTTTAAAGAAACAAAAAACCGTTGTCTGATGGACCTAACTTCCAAGTATCCTCTCTCTCCGTTTCACGTAATCCAAATTCCAAGCTTGTTTTTGAACTTATAAGTTCAAGATTTTATTTTAATATCTAAACTTTATAAATTTTAATGATCTGAATTCTCAAAAAATTTAGATAAAATGAGTCGCAAATAAATGTACTTTATTATTAACTTGTCCAACTAAAATATGTCAGGTAAATTTATAGTTTATAAAAAAAAATTCAAATGTAGTTTATAAACTTAATTAATAATTAAAACTTGTAATTAGGCAAATCGTAAAATTCAAAAAACAAATTTATAATTTTCAAAAGAGAAAATGGTTTTTCTTAGTGAAAAAGAGAAAATGTTATTCAGAGCTTTTTTAGCTAAACATTTACATCCAGATTCGAAACTTCAATTTTTTTTTAATGATGATATATGTTATAATAGTTGAATTATGCTAAGTTTGCAAAAATAGTAGAAATTCGGTCAGAGAGCTAGAGAGACGACGTGGCCAGCCACATTTAAATGCAATTAATTTGGCCTACCATAAACTAAAGAGTATTCAATCAAAACTTCTTTCTTGTTTTTTTTTTTTCTCTAATTCTTTCTTTTTATGCCTAAAAAATTAGTTGAATTTAGCATAATTGCATCGTTGATGATAATAACATGAGCCAAAATTATGCATTGAAAAAAATGAATGAATATAAATAAAATATAGATTTGAAACTATTAATTTAAATTTATAATATTCAAATCTACGTCTCTTCATTTCATTCTTTTACATTTGGTAAAAGTAGTAGAAGATAGAGAAATTTGGATTCCAAACGTAAGGCATTGTGTTTAATAACAAAATTTTGTTATTCTTTCTAATTGTTTAGAAATATAATTTGGATAATTACCATGTACTTTTTCATTTTTAAAATTATTTTCAAATTGTTTAGGATGCGTTTTGTTAGTGATAAACAGAAACCTAAAAAGATTCAATAAAAACATAGTTGTTTTATGTTTATAGTGTTTTCGGATATGTGTTTGACGACAGATCTAAAATTGAACTTCAATTTAAAAAACTATTTAAAATGTCCAGTAACATATTTGTGAACTAAGTGTAGTTAATAATTAAAGTTTCAAATTGAAAATCTGAAAACATAAAAATGTTGTTTTCATAATTTTCAATATTTGGATCACAAAATTCGAAAACAATAAAAAAAAAATCTACCCAATATAATTTATTTGATTTTGTAAATCTAAAAAAAATATAGAATTTGTATTCGAAATCACTCTGCTCTCACTATACTCAATTTTTCTTCTCAAGCAGTCTCTTTCTTCAGTTTTCATATTAACTTAAGCATCGGAGTGTATGCCGGCACTACGCTGGCGTTAGCTCACCTTTTTCTTGGTGCATATCCTCTTAGATTTAGCTGTTTAAGTCAAGAATCCGTCTTTCTTCTATTCACAACACATCAGGTCCAATTCTGACCACCCAGTTCAACCAACCATGTCAAATTACGTTCTAACACTATTGCATACTAAACAGGTCTTATATTTTTTTAAATGAGAAATATGAAACTGTTACTTTTGAATAAATCTTGATTAAACTCTTGTTTAATTAAATTAAGCCCGGTATATTTTATAACCAAAACAAAAGAATTCAATCATGAACCATGGACTAAAAATAATAATGTGAATTATGTCGATTTTTATTTCGTTTAAATAGTTATCTTTACAGAACAAATACATTATTTTTCTTCTTAAATTTTCACCATAACTATTATAAATATATAAATAAATTAATACCTTTCAGTAAACTATGCTCTAAATCAAAATTCTAAACTATTAAAAATATACAAGTAAAATTAGTTTGCTTGAAAAAAGTATTATTTGTGTAACTAAACTAGCCCTTGGCTCCCATGGGCCAAGAGCCCAATTCTGTAGCCAGTTGGGCCGGCAAATTTAAGGGTTAGTTTACGATTTGTTCATAAATAGACCAAAATATTAATAATTAAAATTTTAAGAGATTTTACAAATATAGGTTGAAAGTTTTATTATTATGATTTTTTTTAAGTTCAACCCGATTCCAATCACGGATGAGAATATATATCTTAACCCGTTGAATTATGTCAAGTGTCAGGTTGATTTTTTTGATAATTCACTATTAAATTACAAATTTAATCCGGAAACATTTACCTTTATGCCTATTTAATTATTATCATTAACTTCATTTCTTGAATGTTAATGTAAAAGCCGTATGACTTTTATTTATTATCTACTATGTCAGAATGTATTACACGATTTGTTATGAGAACAAAAACGACTCGAAACGAGACAAGAGATCGAAACCCGAGATCATCGATAAGGGGAGATTGGCCCATGACATAAAAGGTCGACCCATGCCAAAAGACGACCCGATGTCGAGGTGCCGACCCCACCTCAGCACTGAGACCTCCTCGGCACCGAGGCGTCGGTTTCTCACCTTGGCCTTTGGACCAAGGTACAACACGACTTCCTTCGTTCGGATCTAACGTCAAGAGGTTAAACACCCCTGTTCGGGGCCGAACCCAACATCCACCCTCTTCTGTTGATTAACAATCATTGGGCCTTGCAACTAAGAATTAGGA